ATATAATCCCCTAAATATCCACCTTTAAGGAGTGTAGACTAGGGTTCTTATATGGCTTATAGGGTTTATTCTATTCACCTACTTACTGAGTGCCCCTGACCCTCCAAGTAATGGAGAACCTGAGGGGGCTTAGGGAATTCTAGGGAGGATTAAGGACTGTCGGGGGTTACTAGATACCCACTCACTTGAAGTGCCTCCCCTTAACTAGGCTAGGTTAGGCCCTATAAAAACTGGTTGCTTATAGCTTTATGGGGGATACATAGAGTTAAGTTCATTTACAAAAGCATTATGTTCTAAGCTAACCCTGTTCTGGATCCTGCAATTACCCCAAAAACCCTAAACTCTAAACCTGGATCAAAGGCGGCCGAGTATCGCTGCGTCGTTCTCCCGGTGGATCTGTGAAACCATACCTTAAATTGCCGAGCTGAGAGGATGGGCCGGCTCTCAAAAGCGGTTTAGGGTCTAGGGGTTTAAGGTTTGAGGTTTCAAAAATGACAGCTCTAGGGACCCTAGGGATATATAGCGGTTATAGGTTACAAGGGGGTTTAGGGAGGAACTGATTAGGGATTCGAACGGGATGATTTTGAGAAATACCCAGATGAACAGTCAAGTCAAGGAATTGGTATATGTGGGTATATATTGATAATGGAAAATGAAATGGAAACTACTATATACATAGGGGTTCTATAGGGGTTGGGGTTTAGGGCTTAGGTTCAGGAGGGTAGCTATCAGTCATCAGGTGGGTACCCTTAAAGGAGGCCTATACACGCCTTGTAATTAACTACCCACCTGGGGATATCTCTGACTTAGTTGCTTTCAGAGCTCCACCCTCAAAACTGGGACGTCTCAACCTCCAACAGACCAAACTTGCAACCGCCCAAATATCCACCCGTCCACAAATACCATTTCATGTACGCGCTACGCCGTACGCAGTACTGAAAGTGCTAAGGGGGCTGCTCATTCACGAAAGCAAGACTAACTCATAAGATATCCTCACTGTGCTATCATGCACCACCTTGGTGTTGTGAATCCTAAACTTTCCGAGTGTTCTGAACCCGTTTACAGTAAGTAAATCAAATCCCAAAGTACCGACCTGCTTACAGAAACCTCGCGCCTCCATCCATGTCTTGATTACGACCCTTGCGTGTTCTAGATCCTTGCAAGAAAGGCATGATATCCGCATCCACAAACGCCACGGGATACCCCGCAAATAGACCTCTGGCCACGCGAAACCCTAAACACTGCAGGGTTTATAGGGTTTAAGGAACACCCATGTGCAGCTCAAACACTCATGTTGTCCTTGATGTCCTCAGGAGGAAGCACTCACCAAGAATAAGCACCCTTAGGAAACACCTGTAGGGTTCTTTACCATGGTAGGGCTACAGGGGCGTCATGGCCCAGGCTCTTGGTCTATAAATGACTTCTCGCCCGACATGCCAGTTGTCGGATCTTGTAATTTGTGCCAGTAGGAAGCCACAGGACGGGGGGACCCTCCAAAGCTATACTTACCAAACAAGGGCCTCCAAAAACCGACTATAGCACACTACAGGCAGTGATGTGCCGTAACCATGCTCAGTAGGAACAACTTCAGCAATGCCCACATGTCCGCGTATGCGTGCGAACTTGAAAAAACTGCCCAGCTCCAGTGCTTCACAGAAGTCTTGATCTAGAGGGTTTGGGTTTTCAATCTCAACGCACAGTGCCCCAAAAGAGCTGCATATGGATGACGCAAAAACCTGAAAAATGGCAACATCATTCCTCTACAGTGCCTGTGGGAATAGTACAACATACCCCACAGCCCTGTTCTTGTTGTTCGGGCTCCCGCCATAGAACTGGTCTGGCCCGTCATGCTAGGGGACAAGGGCAAAGGATCGTGAGGCTTCTCAAATTTGGGGGTTTAGGAGGTTTGGGTGGGCATGTGGAGCAGAATTCTAGGTTTGATTCAATTTTGTTTGAGAAATGGCCATAAGCTGGAGGAATCTGATGGCACATATTTCTATTCACCTAGCTAACGTACAAGTTTTGACAGGCCAATACCAGAACACCGCTAGAGCATCTGAATGAAGTTAACTACCTCTAACTCTACTACTCCACCTGCCCTGAAACCCTAAACCCTAGAACCCTGCAGCTTATGCTCCTTTTTGGATTCTAAACTGGGGCTGCAGCTTGCTAGGGCGCACAAAGCTGCTCAGCAACATTTGCATTTAGCAAAATATCTGCGTGCCCGTAGACTATGGCTCAAAAGCCCTGCCTGCTGGAGCTTCTTGAAGACCTGCACAGGGTTTATAAAGGGACTCTACTAGAAACCCCAATATAGTAGGTATATAATAGGGATATACCTACCAGGGTCCTTATATTCCATTATATTCCTGCTATATTCTTGGGGTTCCCTATCTCGGGTTCCCAGTAGAGTCCCTTTAGTTTAGGGATTGGCGTTTGGGGCCTAGGGTGCATTCGGGTGAGGACTTACATAGGCATAGGGTGGCATGCTGAAGGTCTCAGGCAGTGTATGAATATGTATAGATGTACATATAAATGAAAGTTTCCATAAATAGGGGGACCACCCAAAAAACGAAAGACTATCATCCTGATTATGGATACCCCCCCTTCAAAAAAAGTACCCCTGATGTTGGGCAGCACCCCTATGTATAGCATCGAAAATTCAAGTGCAAATGCAGCGATCATGCCCAGGATAATAACAATGCAGTATGTTGGGGGCTATATTGGGGTAACCCGATTCATTGAAACTATCCCGACCCCTGATCAATAAACCCCCTCCCCTTAACAGGGACTATTATTGGGATCCCAATATCTAGGCTTTGTCATTAATCATGGGTCTACAGTAACCCCTATATAATCCCCAAACCCTATAAAACCCTTATATAATCCCTATATAGCCCCTATATAACCCCGATATCCCCCCTGCTATTCACTTTTAGGCAACTGGCTTCATGGCTTGGGCCGCCCAATAAGAAGAATGCTATCACCTTCCGCTCTAACCCCCCCTCCTGCACGCGGCTTAGGGTTTAGGGCTATAGGGATTATAGGGTTTGGGGTTATAGGGGTTATATAGGTGATAATGGAAAAGAAATGGAAACAACTATTTAAGGTTTAGGGTTTAAAGCCCTCATCCACGGACCCTGATCCCCTTGTGCCGCTCGGATTCAAAAACCTCAGAGTTCCATGAAGCAGAGACCAAAAATAATCCCATCTTCTTCGAGGCCCCACCTGGAGTTCCAGGCTATTACCCCAAACCAAAATTCATAAGCAGTTACACGTGGGGTAAAACGTCAAGGAAGTTTTACACCTAGAACTGACTGAGTTCACTTTAGGTTTCTTAGAACCTACTTCTAGGTAGCCTTAACTGAACATGAGGCCTGCAGCTGAAGTCCCAAAGGAAAAGCCTAGCCCTGCATGAAACCGAAGCCCCAAATAGTCAATCCCCAAACTCTGCTGAGAGATCGTGATGAACCATAGCTATCCCTAAGGGTCCAAGGACCCAAATAATAGGGTTTCAGGGGCCGAATACCATTAAGATTAAAGTATCCGGGCCCTAAAACCCTATTATTTGTGGTCCTTGGACCCTTAGGGCATGATACACACCTGTAGAGCGTAGAACTGCTTTTTCATAATCGCCAACTAGATCTCCTAGTGTTGGCGAACCCTAGGCCCAACGGTACCTGGATCTGATACTTGGAGGGTCGGGGGGACTTAGTAAGTAGGTTAATGACCCCGATAATCCAAGTAATAACCCTGGTTATCCTTCTTATTAACCTACCTCGTAAGTACGCGGCACTTAGGACCCCTCTCTCTCTCGCAGACTCGAAACGTCAGCTTAGGACCCCTATTAAGGGTTAACCCTTAGGTACCTATGAAAGGAGTACGAAGTAATCCGAAAGGGTTAAGGGTCTAAGGTCCAAGCTAAGTCCCAAGGAGTACTTATTGAGTCCCCCTGACCCTCCAAATACCAACCTCGCCTGTATGAGCTGAAGCCTTTCACGGCGAACTGCGTCGATTCGATTCCGGCACTCCATGTTTTCCTGGTCGTCGGGGGGAGGGGGAACTCATTCATGCCTGAAGCTGGGTGGTGAATGTTGATAGCGCCTTGGGCTAGATGATCACCTATATCTATGTTGAGATGTGTTTGGGGTACCCCACAATTACCGCAATGTAATTTTGAGATCTAACTTGACGTACCCGGTACCATAATAATGTATAGCAACTACATAGGGAATCCTGAGCTAGAATATTTTCACTTATTCAGGCCTTTTATTGTGGTAGGGATTCTCGGCTGCGTGTGCGGGAACGTCTGGGATCCCAAAAAAGAATGTCAACTTTGAAAAACTTGCTAGTACTCAAAGGAAAGTTCCGAGTTTCCCCGAATTAGGTGTACTTTTTTGGAATTCCTCAAAATAAGGACTATAGTTTTTTGGGGTCCATATTGGGGTCCCCTTGTTGAGGGAAACTACGAATTGGGGATCCTTACCGTTATACTCCTTAGATAATCCCCATATATACGCCTTTGGTGGTACCTACGTTTGTGCCCCCAATGCCACGGCCTTAAGCACCAGTAGAAAGAGCTTTGGGCACGGTACAGGGTTGGGGCAGGGGTAGAACCGACTGCAATCATGCAGAAACCCTCCACGAAAACTCGTGCACTCTCCCGCATCCGCAAAAGACCACAATGGCCCAGCATTTTCAGCTGAGATTGGTATGTTGTCGCTGCTCCTGCAAAAAAACTTGTGTCAGGCCAGTCTTGCAACCTTAGCCGCCGCAGATCGCGGCATCGTCTTCAAACACTGTGGATACTGAGTAACCAGCACCAGTGATAACAACCGTGGCAATCAGTGCTGAGGTCGTTGCCACGTGAGTATATAGTAGATACCATGCATACTCCTGAACCTAAACCCTAAGCCCTGAACCCTAAACGCCCTAAACCCTTTTCAGACCCAAACCTCTGAACCCTCTGAAGAGCAAAGCGTCGTGTCCCAGGAGATTCAGCTGATCGATGGCCTGACGGCAAACCACCACAGTCCGCAAGCCAATGATAACACAACAACAGGAAGGTAGAGTTCCGGATCATGGCTTGAATGAGCAGATCCGATGCTTCCTGCCCGACTTTAGTGAAGACCCGCCACCTGTACCGCACGACCATGTTGCTTGGACTCAGCCCTCTTTCTGTGTGTTCTTGGTCCCTGCGCCTTAGCCAGCCGGTTCTCGAGCTTCTTCAGCGGCAGGCCCTGTACAGCATGGTTTCCGGGCAGGGTGCGCGGGCACTGCCAAACTCTTGGTCTTTCTTGGCATGCTGGAAAACGAAAGCTATTGTATATTGGGGTCATATAGGGAGAATGGAAAGTGGAAACTACTGTGTTATTGAGATTCAAAGGTTTGTCAGAAGTCCTGCACAAGC